AAAAACCCATCCTCTGGGGTCCCAGTCCTCAGTCCAGGCAGAATCCCTGACTGAGTCCATTGGAACCAACCTGGCTGACACCCCCTCCCCAAACCCTTCTCCTTCTCCAGGCGTGTCCCATGAACATGTACCCACATGGACGCAGTGGGCGAACCGTGCAGGAGATCTGGGAGGATTTCTCCATGAGCTTCACACCCGCCGTGCGGGAAGTGGTGGAGTTTGCCAAGCACATACCCGGTTTCTGTGACCTTTCTCAGCATGACCAGGTCACCCTGCTTAAGGCTGGCACCTTTGAGGTGAGTAACCATTTGTGCTCCTTGCTCTTGGGAAGGGTCCAGCAGAAAGGCTAGATGTCTGGGGTGGGCAGGGTCTCTGAGAGGCTTTGGAACTTCAGTATATTTGTTCTTAGCTGGGTGGCTGGGACTTTTGTCATCTCAGCTGGAGTCTAATCACTACCCAGTTAGATTAACATAACACCTTAAGGTTCACTGCTACCCCTATTTTGGTGGTGGTGGTGTGCCATGTGGAGTCAGTTCTGACTCATAGCGACCCTGTACAGGGTTTCCGAAGCTGTAAATCTTTATGGGAGCAGAAAGCCTCCTGCAGAACAGCTGGTAGTTTCAAACTGCTGACTTTGAGGTTAGCAGCCCAATTTGTAACCACTACACTACCAGAGCTCCTCACCCTTATTTTAGATAGGAACATATTCACTTTGGTGAAGTGCTTTGCCCAAGGTCAGTCACAAGGAGTGACAAAACTGAGACTCAGAATCAGTCCTGTTAGTCTCTAAGACTATAGAATGTTCCCCATCCTTCCATGTGGCCCCCCGCCCCCCAGTCTTATGGAGAAATCTAAAGCAGCACCACAAAACCCTTCAGGGGTGATTTGGCAAGTGTTCCTCCCATTCCACCCAGGCTAACTATGCCCACCCTTCAGGTGCTGATGGTGCGTTTCGCATCACTGTTCAACGTGAAGGATCAGACAGTGATGTTCCTGAGCCGAACCACCTACAGCCTGCAGGAGCTGGGTGCCATGGGCATGGGAGACCTGCTCAATGCCATGTTCGACTTCAGTGAGAAGCTCAACTCCCTGGCGCTTACCGAGGAGGAGCTGGGTCTCTTCACCGCGGTGGTGCTTGTCTCTGCAGGTAGGTCAAGCTCTCACCTGACCCGGGGGAGGAGGCGGACGCAGTTCAATTCAACAGACCTTTTATGAAGGACCTACTCTATGCCAGGCCCTACACCGGGCACTGGGGAATACAGACATGGTTAAGACACAGTCTAGCTTGGGAGACAGACTCATGCCCAACTAATTATAAACAGTGAGGTAAGTGTCACAGTAGAAGCATGAACCAAGGGCTTTGGGAACACAGACAACTATTTCTGCCTGGGGGAGCTGAGAAAGGAGGTGACACTTGAGTAGGGTTTTAAAGGACAAGTAAGATGTTGCCAGGCAGGGAAAGGGGGAAGGGCATCCCAGACAGAGGGAACAACAGAGCCAAAAGCAAGGGAGCCTGGATTTGAGGGGGCTGTTAGGGAAAGAGAGTGGGCTTTGGGGAGTGGGGATGGGAGGTGACAGCCCTGCTGAGCTCCCAGCAATCAGGTACCTCCTGCTCTGGGGCAGAGGCCTGGAAGAAGGAGTGGAGCTCCTTCCTTCTCATTGGGCCAGGCTTCAGGAAGAGGCTGCATTGCCAGCTAGGTCCTCGCAGACCTCTGGTTCCTCGTCAGAGGAGCTGGAAGAGGAGCCTCCCTCACTGCTGTCGTCTTCCCCACAGACCGCTCGGGCATGGAGAATTCCGCTTCTGTGGAGCAGCTCCAGGAGACGCTGCTGCGGGCTCTTCGGGCTCTGGTGCTGAAGAACCGGCCCTTGGAGACTTCCCGCTTCACCAAGCTGCTGCTCAAGCTGCCGGACCTGCGGACCCTGAACAACATGCATTCCGAGAAGCTGCTGTCCTTCCGGGTGGACGCCCAGTGACCCGCCCGGCCGGCCTTCTGCCGCTGCCCCCTTGTACAGAATCGAACTCTGCACTTCTCTCTCCTTTACGAGACGAAAAGGAAAAGCAAACCAGAATCTTATTTATATTGTTATAAAATATTCCAAGATGAGCCTCTGGCCCCCTGAGCCTTCTTGTAAATACCTGCCTCCCTCCCCCACCCCGGAACTTCCCCCTCCTCCCCTATTTAAACCACTGCCCCTCCCCTCTGCGCACTTTTCCAGCCCCCTGACTTGTTCTGTGCCTGTCTCAAATCCAATAGTTCACAGCTGAGCTGGCTTCTGTGGTTGTGTGCTCGTTTGGGGGTGGGGTGGCACTAATGCCAAGGCTGAGGGGAGCCCTCCTCCATCTGGTCAGTTTGTGGGGTGGGTACTCTGCCAGCAGATGGGAGGGTCCAGGGAAGCATCACACAAGTCTAAGGGGGGTGCTCAAAGGGGGTTATTTTCATCATATATTTATTACATAAATATATAGTAAAATAGACGAGCAACAATTACCATAAAAATATCTTTCTTTAAAATCCTGACCCAAAACACAACGGGGTGAAAAATCGCACATAACAGACATACTGATTGTCAACGTGGGGCAGGAGTAGGAGCCCCCCCCAAGTCACCCCTACGGGTCCCACCCTGCCTTGGGGAAGGGACCTACCTCCTTTCCCTATTTCTGGCCACAACTCCCCTCCCCCCACCCCAGCACCAGCTTCTCATACATTCAGTAGCGCCTCTGGGCAAAGTCCCTCCCGGCTCCCAGGAGTTCCCAGGGCGGGAAGTCTTGTCCCCCTTCTGGACGGTGTCTGTCTCACACGCCCTGCCCTCTCCCAGCCCTGGAGACCCGCCACCAGGGGAAGGGATAGGGGACTCCTCCTCCCCCACCCTCCCCAAGTCTGAGCTGGGAGAAGGCTGGATGAGGTATGTGTGTTATGAGTGATGGGAGGGGGAATACTGAGTTGGAGAGGCAGGTGGTGGGGGTGGGGTAGTGGTCATGGCTCTGGCACCCCCCTTGTCCTGGCCTGGCCCCCTCATCCTATTCTCAGTGGCCCCTCATCCCACCAATACTGCACCTGCTTCCCTACCCTGCCTGCCCTAGTGCCCCGGGCCAATACTGGGGGAGGCTTGCTAAGCACCCATGTCAAGGCCAACCCCCTCATTAGCACCAATGGCCCCCAGGAGAGGGCCCTGTCCCCCACTTCCACAGCAGGGATTGGGACAGCTGCCTTTCTAGAGCAGGTGTGTGACGCTCTGAGTCTCCCTGGCTCCTCCCTCACCACATGCACGCACTCACTCTCACACACGCAGAGAAACCGCACACAGACACCCCACATCACCAAGAGTGAGGGGGTAGGGTCAGGGGTGGAGTAGGGATCACAGCTCATATGACAGGGAAGGGATGGGGGAATGGGTTCCCAAACTCCTATCAGAGACCAAGCCTTTTGAAGGCCTTCCCCCCTCCAAGTGCAGGGCTGAGAATGGGATGGAAGGTGGGAGTGGGGAAGGTGGGAGGGATGAGGGAGACAGCAGACAGTTCAGGAGTCACTGGGCCCCCAGGGGTTGGGATTCGGAAGGTACATGAGGGCTTACCCATGGGACTGGAGTAACAAGGGGATCAGTATCCCAGGAGAGATAGAGGAGAGAGACAGACAAAAGATGGCACACTGGGCCCAAGAGGGGTGAGGCAGTCACATGCACAGGTGACAATGGGCGCTCCTCCAAGCCCTCCATTCTGTGGGAACCCCTGAACCTTGGGGGAAGGCGATTGCCCTGGAGGGCAGCATAGCTTTACCTTCCCATGCATGCTTGCGGTGAATATATGCATGTGTGTGTGGGGGGGGGGGGCTGTGGCAGGCCAAGGGTCAGGGTGGGGTGGCAGGTTCCCCACTGCTTAAGACATTTTGCCCCAATAGTGCAAAGCGCAGGAAGCCCTGGCACCCTTCCCCCCACCCCTCCCCCACTCCCCATGGCTTCTGGGGGGGGCATCTAGGTCCACCCATCCATCCCTGCCGACAAAAGACATGCAGCCCTGAGCCCAGGGCCCTCTGGTCTGCTCTAGTCCCTCCACCCTCCCTGCCCCCCCCTGGGAGGGCCACCTCCTTCCTCCCTCTCTTCCTTAAAGAGTGGACGATATGGCCAAAGGGAGGAGGAGGGGGCAGCTCACCCAAGTGCAGACCAACAGAGCACTCCTCACCAGGAGGGTGGGAGGTGGCTCTAGCCAAAGTCCCTGAATTAGAGAAAAAAAGAAGGGAAAGGGTCCCTGGGGTAGAGGGGCATCTGGCCTAAAGAGCTTCCCCTTCCCCAGGGCCCCACCTAAGTGCCATTTATCCAAGCACCCACACTCTGGTGCCTGCCCACCCAGGGTCTGGTTAGTGCATTGCCTGGGAGTGGGAAGGAGGGTGGAGGTGTTAGAGAGAGCCCAGAAGACAGATGGGAAACAGGGTCCTGAAGGAGTTGGGGCTCTGGGAGATGCTCACGCACACCCTGTCCCCCCATGCAGCAGCATCTGGATTATAGCTAATACTGCAGGATGTGAGGAGGGCGGAGCCACAGTCTTTTCTGTGTGGGTGCCAAGGTGGGAAGGGGCAGGGGGGGTAGGGGGAGGCCCCCAGAGCTGGGCACTTGAAAGGGGAGCTGTGCGGGTGGTAGGGCAGGCTGGTGAGGGGCCAGCTGGCATCCAGCATGAGAGGTAGATGGAACTCAGCGGGCACAAGTGGCAGAGAGCAAAGGGAATACTGGGCTCGGGCAGGGGTGCCCAAGGGGCATGGAGAAGGGGGCAAGGCAAGGGCAAGGGGTGACCAGGACCCTGTTGTGTTAACTCACAGCTCTGATCAGCAGCCCTACCGTTGGGGATCTGGTGTGGGGGGGGGCATTTCCCTCTGATCTGGGGGGAGGAAGGGCAGCTCTCAAAGTGCATGGGGGCAGTAAGGGGGTCCTCCCCTCTGGCCAGCCTCAGTTAATAACTTAATATCATCTCTCTATCTCTCTCTATCGCTCGCTCTGTTTTTTTGTCTTTTTCTGTCTAGTTTTTCTTCATTTATCTTCTTTTCCCCTTGCTTGGTTTCCAAAGTGCAGTTAGAAATTTTTAACCTCCAGGGGAGGAGCCAAGCCAAGCCTTTCTTTGCACCCCCGGCATCTGGGAAAATAGAGCCTGCAGCCTGAAAGGGGAATCTAGGTCAAGAATCATCGGGGGCTCTCTCTTGCATTATGTGTAAGGGGTGAGTTGAGGGCATTTTCCCTCATCCCACCTTACTCCTTCCCCTAAGGTGAAGATGGCTTGTCCCCTATTAATTCTCCCTTCTTTCCCCTAACTTATTAGAGGATGGGGTCCTAGAAACTGCAGGACAGGTCTCCCCAGCCCCACACTGCCTTTTTCATAGCAAGTTCATTTGTTTGCCCTGTTCCAGGGCTGGAGGGTCTGAGGAGGGACCCGGGCAGTGCAAGGTGTGTGTTGGGGGAGCTGAATCTATCCGAGGACGAGAGGAAGGAGAGAAGAGGTGTGTGGGGGGGTTCTCCCTCAGCCCCCAGCTCTGCCCCTTCTCTCCAGGCTCCTCCCCACCAGCTCCGCACACCCTCTGGCCGCCTGAGGCTTTAGACTTCCTGATCCTCAAAGACCTCCAGGAAGAGTGGGGGGAAGAGTTCGGTGGGGCACTCGACTTTCATGTGGAGGAAGCGGCTGGCGTGGCAGGCCCCGATCATGCGGAGATCAGTCACCTTCATCAGCAGCTTGGGCCAGAAGTGCGGAATGTTGTGTTTGCGGTGGTTGACATAGTGCTCGAACGCCAGCAGGTACGCCTCCTGACTCTTCTCGATCTTGTCCACACACAGCAGGCCCGAACGGTCTGTGGGAAGGAAGGAAAGGAAGGACATAAGAGGAGAGTGGCCTAGGGACTGGGAGACCAATGAATGAGACATGGGGAGACATGCAGAGAAGATACAGACGGTGAGGGGTATGCCCACAGGAGGCAACAGCAAGGGGAAGTTTAGAGTTTGAACTCAGGGACTGAGGCTCAGAGAGCGGGGACTGAAGGGCCTGGGAATAGCAGCTACATGCAGGGAAGCAAGAGACAGACAGACAGGCAGATGGGGCAGACCTGGGAAGAGAGAGAATACTAGGAGGAGACAGAGAGAGGTGGGACAGTTAGCGACCCAATCATGACTCTGACTCTGACTCTATATAGGGTTTCCAAGACTCTGGTAGCCTGGTGGTTACGAATTGGGCTGTTAACTCTCACGGTCAGCAGTTCGAAACTACCAGCTGTTCCATGGGAGAAAGGATGAGGCTTTCTGCTCTCGTAAAGATTTACAGCCTCGGAAACCTTATGCAGGGTCACTATGAGTCGGAACCGACTCCACGGTACTTAACAACAACAAAGACTAATCTTTACTAGAGCAGACAAGCTCATCTTTCTTCTGAGAAGCTGCTGGTGGGTTTGAACTAACAAACTTGTGGTTAGAAGTCCAGTGCTTATCCTACAGCACCACCAGAGTTTCTTGGTAGTCAGAGAGGTGGGTGGGAATAGAGGCAGAAGGGAATGACAGACAGAAGGGGAGGGACAAGTCATAACTGATGGGACAGAGAGATAGGTGGTGGATAGGAGAGAAAACGGGGATGTGGGTGACAAAGAGGACAATTAGGGGCATAAAGAAAGAAGAGGGATAAAGGAGGAAACGGGGAGAGGTAGGACTGGGAGACAGAGGACGCCTGGAGAGCAAAGGGTGGGATGGGCCCCAGAGCAGGGGGCGGGGGATAGAAGTGGGCCTGGGTGGCAGAGAAGTTTGGGGGACAGAGAGGTGATGGGAGGAGGGCAGAGAGGGAATTTGAGACAGAAAGGTAGGCTTGGAGGACAGAGAAGCTGAGAAGAGATGAGAGACTCCAGAGTTAAGGAAGGAAAAAAGCAACAGACTCAGGGCACAGGCAAGTTCTGTCTTTGGAAGTCTCTGAACCCTCCCAACCAGTCAACACCTACCTGTTGACATTAGCAGCACAGCCTGCAGCAGAGCCACTTCTGTGTCGTCCAGGTTAAAGGCAGAGAGTGACTTGCCCAGTTCAAAGATGGCGTCTGAGACTACGCCCAGGCCGCCATTCTTGAGTTGTTCCCGCTTCACAGCCATCTCCCCACTCAGCGTCAGGGTGTCGCTCTCGGGGTCATAGCGGACAGCCGCCCGCAGGGACATGATCTCCATGCAGCACCCCTTCAAGAGGATGATCTGGTCTTCGCAAGGCAGCTACAGAATGGCAGGGTTGCAAGAATGCTCAGCGCTCTCCCGTGTCCCTGAGTCTCCCCTCTGGGTGCCCTTGGAAGCTGTGAGGCCAGACAGGCCTCAGCTAATAACATGCCCTCGGAACACTTAACCTTGCACTGAGCCAAGGGCAAGTGCAAATTCATTTAAATCTCACAGTAATGCCTAGGAGTTCGGGATCATCGTGAGCTCCACTGTGCAGAGAGGGCACTAAGAGCTAGGGGGTTAGGTAACTTGGCCAAGGTCACACAGCTGGGAGGGCAGCCCATCATCACCAGAGTTGTTCCTTGTTGCTGAGTTGATTCCACTCATGGTGACCCGTGTGTGCAGAGAGGAACTGCTCCACAGGATTTTCAAGGTAGTGACTTTTTTGGAAGCAGATCACAGGGTCTGTCTTCCAAGGCACCCTGGGTTAGTAATAGAGTACTTAACCGTTAGGTTAGTAGTCAGGTGCTTAACTGTTGGCACCATCTAGGGAGCCTGTCTCCAGAGTTAGTGCTCTTTAAAATGAGGAGAGGTTTAAGGCCACAGTGTTTTATGGGGGAAAGGCTGGATATTTGAAACTGGCTTGTTCTGTAGAGATCAGCTGACCCAGTGCTTGTTTGTGTATATTGGGGTGTGTGTTAATAACCTCTTAAGGACTTCTCTTTATCTCGAGAACCTCTGATGAGCATCTACTGGGAATGAGTGGCCTAGGGAGCAGCCCAAGATTTCCCTCCATATTTCTCCTTCCATCTGCCACTCACCTCGGAGAACATGGGCAGTTTTTTGGCAAAGTCCACCACACGGGTTATAGCCGGGGTGATGATCTTGGTAAACTCGCTGAAGGCCTCTAGGTCCACCTTGTCTCCATCCGGCATTGAGACGATGGGTGACTGGCCAATGTCATCTGGCTAGAGGGAGAGATGAAGGCCAACTAGGGGTGTAGGCAGACCCCCTTTCCAACCGCTCACTGAGGTTCCCTGTCCACCAGAGGGAGCTCCAAGGCTGCTTGGGGGAAGAGGGGCTGTTCTAAAGCTTTTCCTTAGTGTAGCTTCTGAAGAGGATGGACCAGAGCAGCTCCCATCAACAAACAATTACAACAATAACAGTAGTAGTAGCACTCATTATAATAGTAATAATCACATGGGGTTTGGCATTAGGCTAAATGTGCTACATACACTATCTCATTTAATTCTGACCACACCTCTTTAAAGCAGATATAATTATCACCATTTCACAGATGAAGAAATGGATACATAGTGCAACAATATGTCTAAACTCACATAAGCAGTCAATAGTAGAAGCAGGATTTGAACCCAGGCAGTCTGATTGCTAACTTTTGCATCCACATCTGCTTGATATCTTTTAGTGCACTGTTCCATCTCCCAGTGTACTCCACCAAAAACAAGGCACCAGCTTTCTGCCTTCCCTCACCACGTACAAACCAACTCCTCCTATGCTGACAGTTCCCTTGGCACTTGGTTTTGCCACAATCTTAACACAGAGCCAGTTGTTGGACATCTTTAACTTTGAATTCATGGGGACCAGCTTTGTACTGATCTTTCAAAAATAAATTATTCATGCAATCTATAAGGAAGATCAGCTAATATTATTATTATTCAAATTTACACACCAACTACTAAAGCCATTGATAATGAAATTGAAGAATTTTACCAACATCTTTGGCGTTTGGAGTTCTGGTGTGGCGCTGCAGGATAATGCACTGGACCAAAAGGTTGGTTTGAACTCAAGGTCAGTGGTTCACACTCACCAGCCACTCCTTGGAAACCTTGTACAGGGTTGTTATGAGTCAGAACTGACTCAACAGCACTTCACAACAACAATAACACAGAGCCTGGTAGCCAGTTGTTGTTAAATGCAGTTGTGTTAGTTCCTATTCATAGCAACTCTGTATAGGGTTTCTGAGACTGTAAGTCTTTGTGGGAGCAGAAAGCCTAATCTTTATCTCATGGAGTGGCTGGTGGGATCAAACCGCTGACCTTGTGGTTCATGGTCCAGTGCTTATTCAACAGAGCCACCAGCAGTAGGTGATCAAAAATACTGTTCCATGACTGTGTCCTCCCCTTGTCCTGCCAGGAAAAGGAGGAAAGGCCACCCCTGCTGACTGGAAATTCAAGGACAGCAATGCCCTGTCTTCACAGAGCTCCCAATCAGATGGAAGAAGCAGAGCCCACAGAACGAGAGCATAAACACAGGTGATCAACATCAGGACTGCCAAGGTATGGAGAGTATCCGTTTTGGGTTAAGAAGGCTTCCTGGAAGAGGCAAGCTGCCGAGGGCTCCTCTCTCCTTACCAAGAATTTCCGCCTTTGCTTCCAGTGGCTGCCCTGGGCATTGGTGCTGCGATGGGCCTCTGTTGCAACATGGATCAGGTCCCACTCTTCAGGAGTGGGCTCTGGTCGTTGCTGCAGGGATCGGATCATCTCCTCCTTCCGCCGCCGCTCTCTGTTCTGCTCAATCAGCTTGCGTTTGGCCACCCGCTTCGAGTCATCTAGAACCACTGCCAATGGAGACAGGATGCCCTCTGCGTGGCACTCCCCACCTAGGACCTCATTTGCCTCCTCTTTACCATCCTCTCAGAAACTCCTCTTCTTGGTGTATAGGCCCAGAGAGGTTCAGCAATTTCCTTAAATCACCTAGCAGGTGGGGGGTACAACCTGGATCATGACTAAATGACTGGGTCACACTTGACCTCCGATTTGGGGTGATCCAGAAGAAAGAACCTCTGAATGTCATGCTCAGGTCTAATCTGTTACGGTGACAGGAGCTATACAGTGTCAGGAACACTGAACATATGAATGAGAGCTGACAGTTGGTGAATTACTAGAAAGCCCCGCCACCCACTCCCTAGTCCTGTGAGTAGGGTGCCTTCCCTGGGAGTTGGGAATATTGTGTTACAGTGGGGGGTACTGGGGTTCATAGAGGAATCCTCTCTTCCCTTTCCCCCCAGGGATGAGGGCAAACTCTGATCATCACACCATCAGTCTGGCCTAGATTGGCACTCTGCCTTGTGGGTCCTGTGGGTATCCTGGGAGCTTCCTCCCTCTATCCCCAACCGCCAGGTCCAACTCCTTCCCCGCAGGCCCCTTACAGTCCATGGCCATGCCCACAGCGATGCACTTCTTGAAGCGACACAGCTGGCACTGATTGCGGGTGATCTTGTCAATGACACAGCAGCTGTCATATTTGCATGAGTAAGTGGGATGGAGATTCTTCTGGATTGTGCGACGAAAGAAACCCTAGAACAGGGGAAGATGAAGCACATTGCAATCCTAACAGACTCTTCTGAATCAACCAATCAACCATGCAGCTCACTGGGCATGGCCGGGGCAAGATCAGTGAGAGGACCTCGTGTCTCCACGACACAACAAGCCCAGGGTCACTAGGCTCTGCCAGGTCAAGGGCCCTTAGCAAGGCGTTCTCGGCTACCTAAGCACATGGCAGTGGTGGTGCAGAGTTAAGAATGATAACTATAGTGAAGAGATCAGTGTCTGGGGATGGTGTGAGATGCCATGAGGCCTGAACTAGCACCTGATTTTCCACCTAGCTAAAACGACTCTCAAAACAACAGTGACCCTAAGACCATTTTTCCATGCTGGTGGAATTCATGAAACAGGGTGACCAAAACCATTAAAAAGAGACCGTAGGTATACGCTCTAGTAGCTTTAAGGGGGAAATTTCAATTACATCCATCAGGATTGTTGTTGTTGTTAAGTGCCGTCGAGTCGGTTCCGACCCATAGTGACCCTGTACAGGGTTTCCGAGGGTGTAAATCCTTACGGGAGTAGAAAGCCTCATCTTTCTCCCGCGGAGCGGCTGGTAGTTTCGAACCGCTTACCTTAAGGTTCGCAGCCCGATTCGTAACCACTACGCTACCAGAGCTCCTTTTCCATCAGGATTAGTACTTCCTTTAAAGGGAACATTCTCAAGAATCAAGATGGCAGTAGTATTTACTGAATGCTTACTATCTGCCAAGCACTGTAAGCCTTTTAATGTGATAGGACATTCAGCTACGAGATGGTGGTGTCACGTGCTGTTGAGTTGGTTCTGATTCATAGCAATCCTGTATAGGGTTTCCAAGGAACGGCTGGTGGGTTTGAACCGCCAACCCTGTGGTTAGCAGTCCAGTGCTTTCCCTATAGCACCGCACCAGGACTCCAACGATGAGGTAGGAGCTATTATTGTCCCCCTTTTACAGGCCAAGAAACTGAAGCTTTGAGAGAGATGAAGCAACATGCCCAAGGTCACATGACTAAATGGGCAGTACAGCCAGAAGTGGGCCTCAGATAGGAAACAGCAAGGTCTGAGTTCTCAGATTCTGGGGTGCATTTACAGTACCTAGTTAAATTACCAAAAATACAGGCTCCTAGGCCCCACTCCAGACCTTTTAAACTAGACTCTCTAGGAATAAGGTCAAAGGAGCTTGGGCTGTGTAGTGGTTATGAGTCGGGCTGCTAATCTCACGGTCAGCAGTTTGAAACTACCAGCAGTTCCTTAAGAGGAAGATGAGGCTTTCTGCTCCTATAAAGATTTACAGCCTCAAAAATGCCATACAGGGTTGCTATGAGTCAGAACAGGAGTAAGACCAAGGCATCAGTCTTTTCCAGATGCTCCCAGAGATTCGCATGTCCTGAGTGACTACCCCTTGCTTTATGCTATACTGTTTATATTGCTTCTTGCTTCCAAGAACACTGTTGGGACCCTAAGTCCCTGGTGGTCTCTGTGCAGTTGACATTAAATAATTCTGCATCCTGAAAGGCCCACATTTCCAGGAAGTGTTGATCTAAGGAAAAAACAATGCAGGCTCAAATTATCCAGGAAAAATCTAATTTGGCCTCTGCACATTTATGACTTTGTCCCCTCTACCCAAGGAGAACCTACCACACCCACCACACCCCCAGAAGTGGTTCTCACCCTTTTGGGTATATCAGAAGTAACTGGGGAGTCCATTAGAAGGCTGATTTCTGGGGCCCACCACACACTGGGGTCTGATGAAAGGTGAGATAGGGCCTGGAGATCAGCATTTTACCTAGCAGGATAAGCACTGGACTGCAAGGTCAGTTTGAACTGTAAGGTCTGCGCTTCAAACTCACCAGCTGCTCCTCAGAAGCCCCAGGCAGGGTCGCTATGGACTCGGCTGCACTTTACAACAACAGCTTCGGGTTTCTAGTCTTTCTCTCTCTGACCTGAGGGTAGGGCACATGCTGCATCCACACAACTCATGCAGGATCAAGAACACTGAATGGATGGATGGTAGCTGACATTTATTGCTGATTTCTTACATGCCTGGCACTGTTTAAAACACTTTATGTGAGTTATCCTATTTCATTCTCGGTATTTCTAGGAGGAGGAAACATGATTATTCCTGTTTTATAGGTGAGGAAATTGAGGTTGAGAAGCAAATTGAGTTACCTGTATGAGTGGTAGAACAGGAATTATGCATGAACGAACAAATGAAAGAATGAATGAATGAACATAAAAAGAGAATGATGGTATAATGGGTGGGCTTCAGGCTCTATGTTTATAGGGTTTGTCTGCTGCACCAGGTGCTGAGGGCCTTAAAGGGAGTGAGATGGGGGCTCAGGTAGTGGGGGAGGGGAGGAGCAGCTGGTCCATACCTTGCAGCCTTCACAAGTGATGCAGCGGTAGTGATAACCGGTTGCCTTGTCCCCACACACGACACACTGCTCGTCTTTGTCCAGGTAACTAGGGATATACCCTGGGAGGGAGGGAGGAAAGGAGGGAGGCAAGCAGGCATGGCTTGGGGCCCCAGCAAAGAGGATTCTATGCTTTTCCCCCATCATTCAACTTTTCCTTTCTGGCCATGCCCTCGCCCAGCCTCCCTGGAGGGTTCTTGGTCTGTGATTAGAATCCTGGAGACCATGGGAGGCCATCACATCTATTCCTTTTTTCACATAAGTTGGAGTCAACTTGATGCGAAATGTTTTTTTTTTTCTTTTTTTAATGAATATGGAGAATCCTCGTTCTTCTGCCTACCCAATCTGGGCTGTTCTCTTGCTGCCTTGTGTTTCAAGGGACAGGGGATGGGTGAGAGGATGAAGCAAGTATCAGAGGTTCCTCTCAGGAAAATGCGCCCTTAGGGCTCTTCTATCCAGGCCTGATTCTGCTGGAGGCCTCAGCAATGGGCTTATGGGAGAAGGGAAGAGGCCTTTCCTGAATGAATCCATCCTCAAAGGCTGGTTGATGCCCCACATCAGTCCTCCCGCCCCTGAACAAGTCTATCCAAAGTTCTCTCTAAGAGGCTCCCCTCTCCCACCAGAAGCTGCTGGTTCAAGGCCAGACCCCAGAAGTGGACTGGCCTGATTTGCTGGGGCTGGGAGCAGTGAGGAAGGGCACACTCAGCCAGGCTCACCTGACATGCTGGTTTTCAGGGGACATTGGCCGTTCTTTCTTTTTCGCTTTCCATCTGGTGACCTGGCACTGGATGGGGGCAAAGTGAGTGGAATCACAAAGCAGTCCTTGGGAAAACCCTTTCTCAAGGGAGAGGTTTATATAGCCCCCAGGCCCAACTCCCTCTATGTCCCCATTCTAGCCCCCATTCCTAGATCAGCTGACAAAGCCCTCTGGAAGCTACAGGGGTGGGAGATAAGTGGCTTGGCTGGGGCACAAGATTGTTCTAGTACCCTAACAAACACACACACCTTATACCATACTGAATTATCTACAAGATAGCCTTCAGTACCTGCTAAAAGTGTCCCCAAGACATGAAGGCTATGCAAATTTTAGAACATACATACATACATATACATATACGCAACAGAACGCCACCATATATAAATAACTATGCAGCCTTCTATCAATACAAATCCAAGTATGAAACATAAGCACCAGGAGATACATCTTTAGGCAATTTTCAGGGCATTCTCAGAGAAGTTATACACCCTCTTGGATATATATATTCATCATGTCTTACACAACCCTATGGGCAGGCACCTAAAAGTACCATCCCCTTTCTTCCCCTTGTGCACATGTTGCTTGATTTCCAGACCATGCATAGATGCTAAATTACCCACAATGACTGCAAACATATAGCGCTAGCTCCTAGCATCTAGTCAAGAATGAGAGAACAGAAAGGCTTTCTAGAATCTCCCTATCTCTGGCCTCCATTTAACAGAAGCATCAAACTGAAGTCCCACTTAGGGCTGGTGACCGCTGTGTACTAGAGTCAGAGCCAGGAGGAGAACCCTGAGCCCCTGCATTCAAAGTGTTAGCAACCCTCCCCACTGCACATACATGACGCCCTGGTGTTCCACATACATGTTACATAACCCTGCACAGTTACATAAGCCTTTCTACATGCACGCAGTGATTGTATAACTTCCCACACCCACTCTGGTATGTGGCATAGTGCAGGGCCCCTCCTCCTGGAGTCAGATGCAGTTACCAACACACTGACACAGTGACCTTGGTCAGGGTCACAGTCACAGACAGTCCTGCACTTCCCATCCCCTGAGGATTACCCCTGTCTGGTTCCTACAAGGCTGGGGGTGGGGTGGGGGTGGTCAGTTCTCATTTCAGTCTCCAGGTGGGGGTGTGTACCAGGGAACTCTGGGCCATCTAGGCGCCAGTTAAGCGGCGGCGTCTTTCAAAGACTACCTGACTGAAAGCTTTTGGGTGCAGTTCCAGGGAAAGCCACAAGGTGGCGCAGAGACATGGGGGAGGGGAAATGATTGGTAGGGGTTGGGGAGGAGGGGCTGCAGTTCTAGGGAGACCTGGAATGGACATTCCCGCCTTTCTACTTGTCTTAAGAGCCATCTCTCCCAGACCTACAGAAACCTGCGTGGAAAGATGTAGGAACTGCAAGTCAGAGCCACCCTAAGACAGGCTTGGGAGGAGAGGGTACCTTGGAGGCCTCCACCCAATTTCAAGCCTCACATCTTCTTCCTCCACCCCTTCAGGGACCCAGTGTTGGGCTCCAGAGCTTTGCCTGGCCAAGCCTCTGGTCTCCTGGCTCATGATCTGGTATCCTAGGCAACAGCCACACTGCTCCCCAGAGCGCCCCTCCCCCACCCTCTCTCTGGCCATAGGCACAGACTGTACCCAGTTCCCAGGGCACTGTGCCAACTGGGACAGAGCTCTGTGCCACTTGGTGTCAATGGGAGAAGCAGAGACCCTCTGGGCTCCTCAAGGACACTGCCGAGTGTAGGCAACTCATCCCTAACTGTGTGTGCAGGGCTGATGCCTCTCCCACGTGGTAAAACCTTCATGCTTGGCATGTGTGCTCCTTCCTGGGAGGAGCTTCATGGTAGCACCCACCCTCGCCCATGAACAAGGAATAGTTTGTGGGGCTACCAATAGGTTCCAAATATAAGCGTGAGCTGTGACCAGCAGTTACTGGTGCATGTGCCCTGAAATACCATGCTTCACGCACCAGGGCCTACCAACAACAAACTTGTGGTCAGATGGTGGATGGGCTCCTATGGGGAGAAGGAAGGTCCACAAGTTCAGAAGAAGGCAGCAGCAGCAGAGGGAACATTGGAGGGCATTTGAGACTGTCCAGCCCAGTCAAGGGTAGAGCCATATGCCTACTGCCTGAAGAGTCTGCTCCATATCATGGGTCTACGGTACAATATGGAACCCTGGTGGGACACAGTGGGATAAAGCACTGGATTGCCAGGTCGGTTTGAAGCAAAAGTTTGGTGGTTCAAACTCACCAGTCACTCCTCAGAAACCCTATATAGGGTCATTACAAGTCAGCACCAACTCAATGCCACTTAACAAGAACAACAATGTATGATATGGGTATCTCTCAACCCAGGTGCCTATTAATTTACTACATCTGAACATGACCTCATCTCCTGGGCAAAGGTAGGCAACAGGCTCTTTGGTCTCAAGTCTGCCCCCCAGAGGTACTTAAGAGGTCCAGGTTCAGTTCTTGGCAGGGAGGCCCTATGCCCAGCCAGGTGAGCATGACTGTCTCCTGAGCCCATTACCTGTTCTCCTCTGGGTCTGACCCACACTCCAGCTTGCTTGGCTTCTGTTCCATTCACTTCAATTCCATCCAGGATGCACTCCAGCACGCCAAGAGACGGGTGGGCACACAGGCCCCCCCGGCACACCCACAGGCCACCCACCCCCCACCACCCAGGCCCTAGGGTACAACACCCATGGTGCCCGCCTCAGCACTTGGCCTTCACACCATGCCCTACACCCCAAGGGGGGGTGGGCACTGGGAGGGGCCAGGGGGTGGCAGATGGGAGGGTTGGGGGGCAAACTGGATCTCTGAGGGGCGTCCTGGGCTGGGGCTTGAGAAGTAGGTGCAGAGTCTTGTCCTGTCTTGAAGTCCCTGTGGAGAGGAGAGAGGAAGGGTCAGCAGGGCTGTGAGAGGGGATTCCTCTGGTGGTAACAATTTGGCTTCTTGGGCTCCACAACAAATTGGTGAAGGGCATGCGCAGACAGTCTAGTGGTATCTTCAAGGAAGGGTCAGGATAATCTCTCCAATCAATAAGCATAGCAGGCAAGATGGTAGACCTACATCCTGAACTTCAGAGATGGGGAGGGATGGAGGGAAAGACTGAGGTAATTCGTGTTCCCTGTAACACATCTCAAACTTCACATTCAATCAACCGCTAGGCCCTTAATAAGTGTCTATAAACACGAGCTATTATAACCACCCCTCTAGCCAAGGTTCCTTAAAACTCATTAGTATTATGGGGCAAGAAGGTACCAAGGATGAGCAGTTTTCAGTCTGAGCATGTGAGTTTCAGTAACGGAACAGTGGGGTATGAGGGCAGCATATAGGGATCATGGATGGCCATCTTAGTCTCTTAAGGAGAGAATATAGACAACAGTGGACAGCTGACCACACCTGCTGCTGGTCACATTATGACTCCTCAACCCTAGTCCTTCCAAAGGCTCCAGAGCTTCCCATACAGGGTTCTAAGTAATACTTTCCACTCTGAGGACCAGACTTCCCAGTCGGTTTAGCTGAGTTGCCACCTACCAGGATGGCAAGGGGAGGGGAAAGGAAACTAACATGCACTGACTGAACAGATAATATGTGCCCTCTCAAGTTGGCACCAGAATTTTCCAGAAGCTCAGAAAGCTTGATCATATACTCCATTTCATATGGCTAAAAGCAGGTGGCTCAAGGGTTAACCCTAGCAACCTGGCTTTACTGCCAGCCTTGTTCTGCTACCTGGGCCCCTAGTCCATCTACAACGGCTCTGAACTCAGGATTGCAGACCTGGGGCTTACTTAGTGTCTGAACACACACAGTCAGGTGTGGGTGTAGGACGGGGACAAAGGGTGCAGTTCCCCACAGACAAGCTCCATCATGTGGCTGCTGCATCGTAGACCTCACCCCTGGGCCCCCCCAGCCCGACCCCCAGGAACTGATAAGCAGGCCGGATGGGAGGAGAAAGGAGATAAGTTAAGGCAGGGCTGTGGGACAGGGGTTCTGCACCCAGGAGAGCCTCTGGTACGGGGAGGAGTGCAGTAGGGGGCCCATTCAGCTCCAATACCCTCTAGGCCAGGACTGGGCACTGGGGGCTGGACGGGAGACTGGGGGAGGGGGGTAAGTGGGGAGCCTTAGCCCAGGGAGCCATCAAAAAAGTAGGTCAAGTTTTTCTTGGCTTGTGGAGAAATTCCTGTTATAAATTTATAATGGCGTAGCCAGCCCTGAGGGGTGGAGGTGGGGGGAGGAGAAGGAATGGGTGGGGATGCCTAGGGACTACAGTTCTCAGCCAGAGCAATGAGGGGCAGGGGGCTTGGCAGTCATGGGGGCTGGGCTGGACAAGGGAAGGCTATTTTCTCCCAGTCGCCTGTTCCCACTTCTGTCTGAGCCTATCCAGGCATCCGTCTGTCTGCCTCTGAATGTGTCTGTCTCTCTGGGTCTGGGTGTCTCCCTGTCTCCCCCCAGGCTGTGCCTCGGTGCTTGGCACACCCTGGCTGCGGTGCTGCCCCTGCCTGTCTCCTGCCCACCTGGCATGCTGCCATCACTTGTTTACAGAAGCTGGAAAAATCCACTCGCCAGCTGGAGGCCCAGGCGCCCCCGAGGAGGGGAGGAGGCAGGCACAGGAGTGGACATGTTGAGAGGGGCAGCCTTAGGGAGTAGTAGGCCCTAGGGGCAGACGCAGAGAGCCAGGGTATGTGGGAATGGGCATTGGCAACTGTGGGCCAAGCAGGGAACCCCAGCAGCAGACACATGGCCTCGGCAGCTCCTGCCCCTAGGCCATACATAGCTGTGGAGGCTGCCCCCCATAACACCTCTGCTACCACCAGTTGCTATAGGGCAGACCTGGGGAAGTTCCAACTGAGGCCACCATGTTTATTTTCCCTCCCCTGTCCCTGGCCTAGTCTGAACTCCAAATGTGTCTGGGCACCACCAAGGGCTTGCACGTGCCCGCTGTGGGGAGGGGCAAGGTCTCTTGGCTCCACCTCTGTGTTGAGCTGAATTGGGCCCTGGTGCCAGTGTGGTGCAGCCTAGACTATGGTTGGCTCCTGACAGTGGCCAGAGGCGCAAGGCACCTAACATAAGACAGGGCTTCTTGGCATCTCTTTAGGGACATACCTGGCCCTCTGAGGGCTCAGCACGTAGAGGCACAAAAGCACATGAGCCTGGGTTAGCTTTTGCTGTGAACGTCAACCAGAAAGGGGGCTGGGACAGGAACATCCACCCTGAAGGGCAGTTTCTCTCTCCTCCCTCCTCCAGGGATCCTGCTTAGTTAACTCCCAGAGCTCCTTCTGTCCATCCTGTCACATCCCTGAGGACCAGAGCAGAGGCAGTAACTCAGCTCCAGAGAGGTGGAGGGGCGGGGCTAAGGGCTCTGAGTCTAGCTAGGACAGCAAGACCCACCTGTTGGCTGGCCAGGCCACCCACTCCCTCTTTGTCAGATAAGAGCTGCCAATGGCAGTGTGGGTGAGGTGCCTGAGGAGGGGGAAGCATTTCATTAAGCTTAAGTGCTTCTTCCATGGGGGGACAGGGACAAGAGACCAATGTGGCATCTGTGGGCAGCAAGCCAGGTTCCCACTGCTGGGCTGGTCTGTCCTGATCCACAGTCCTAAGGACCTAGAGGCTGCCCACTAAGGAGTTCTGAGTTGTCAAAGGGAAATCTCTGGCCCTCTACCCCCCCTAGATCTTGGCCTCAAATTCTACACAATTCTACTGCTTCTAACTGCAGCCCCACCTATCTGGGGCCCCTGAACTTTGTCCTTAATGAGCTGAAGAAAGTCCAGCCCTCCTTGCCAGCCAGAGAGAGACTTATACACACAGAGGGCCAAGAAAAGGGGAGACAGAGGAGAAGGGTAGAGGAGATGATGGGGGAGAACAAAGAGAAAGAAAAGAGATGGGGCAGGGATGTGGGAGTGGGAGGTTGAGCCAGAGATGATGACAATGACGAAGTAAATGGAAAGGAAGAAAGGGAGCAGTGAGGTGGGGACAAGGTAACAAGGTAGAGGTAGAGGTGGGTGAGGCAGGAAGGAGGGCAGATCAGGAAGGGGACAGATGAAGGAGAGGGGAGACAAAGAGAGAAAGGTAACAAAGAACCATGGGTGGGGGGTGCTTCATGCCCTGCCTAAGTCCCAGCCCACTGAGGCTGGCGGGGAGGGAGGACTAGGAATGGTTTCCACGGTGACAGCTGGTTCTTGGTGGCCTGGCATGTGGGCTATTAATAGTGATGTGGGTAGGTTCACACCTCCCTTTCCCCCTCCCCTCTGCTTGCAGCTAGGGTGGGGGGAGCTCCCTCTCTCCCCACCTACTCCCACTCCTCTGGTATGGATGGCCTGACTCCACGCCATGGGAGCCAAGAAAAGATATGGTAAGGGGCCTGGGTGGCCACTGTAGCCCAGATATACATGGGCAGACACAGGCAAATAGTCATCTGTGTGTAGACAGCGGTGCCAACGTGGGCTCCCATGCACAGCCCAAATACAACAGACCCTGGGAGTCTGGTCGCCCATGGAAGCACAGCAGCAGAAAACCGCTCATGTTGAGGGTTGAGGGACAAATGCTTCTCTAGGCTTCTGGGAGCGCTTTCTCCTCCCAGACACCTCCCTCCCCCCACTCTCTGTTCTACTCTCAGGTAAGGATTGAGCAGAGCTGCCCCACCCAATTCAGTTCTCCGAGTGCCAGGAAAGTGAAGGCGGGAAGAAGGTACTATTTGGCAGGTGTGCGATGGCAGAGGAGTACACTCAGACACTGGGCACCAGCTTGGCAAGCATACGGGGAAGGAGGAGAGGGGAAGGGAAGGAAAAGAGGGACAGAGGAAGGGAGAGATACTACTCTTTCCTTGGTGGGCTCTCTCTGGGTCCCCATAAGACTAGATTCTGGAGGTAAAGAGCTTTGACCTAGGAGTCTGGCCTCCTCTTCACTTCAGGACTTTGGAGGCTAGAGAATGGGGGCTGGTGTGGTGAAGATGACCTAAAGGGGGAGATTGGCTATTTAAACAAAGGATCCTCATTCCGCCCCCCCCCCCAAAGACTATAACAGGAAACTCCCCCTTGCATGTCAGACAAGACAAACAGCAGCTTTGACTTGGGCCAGATGCCCAGTATTAACATCAAAGACGGCACTTCCCACCCACCCCCACCCCAAGCCCCACCCACCTGCTGTTCAACTCTCCCTTAACCCCAGGCCAGCTCTGGGGAGGCATCAAGGTGGCTTAGCCCAATCTAGAGGTCACCTCCCTAGACACATGCACACCCCCCTGCCTTCAAATGGATGGTCGGAGCCAGCCATACCTATTTACAAGAGCCCAGCCCCTTCCTTGTCAGCCCAAAGAACTTGCATCCTGTCCCAACTCCCCTCAAGAACAGAGGTGGAATGAGGTAGGAGATGCCAGGCGCCAAGAGCCAGAGTCAGGAGTACCCCAAGCTGGGCAAAGCACATTCCCCCCACCCTTCCCCCAGGAGCCAGCCAGGTAATTGGAGCTGGGAGCTGGGGCAGCTGAATGCTAGAGGCCTGAATGTCAGGAGGCCAAGGCGCTCCCTGCAGATGGCATCATGGGCACAGAGCTTGGGGTCTTCCCTCCCCAATCCCCTCTTCTTGCAGGAGGTGTCTGCAAGCCCTGGGGAACAAACCCAAGAGAGGAGAGAACGGTGGAGGGAAGGAAAGGTAAGGGTGTTCTCCCCAGCACCCTAGGGAGGCAGATACCCCCGCCCAAGCAGAACTGGCAGAGGCAGGGAGAGACTGGGAGAGGGAGAAGGGAGGGAGGTGGAAGGAGGGGATGGGGGAGGGCGACTTTGAGAGAGGGAGAGGAAGAGAGGGAGGGGGAAGGGGAGAGAGGGAGGGAGATAATTGAGAGAGAGGAAGAGAGGGAGAGGAGGGAAGAGGGACGGGGTGGGGAG